ACACACACACACACACACACACACACACACACACACACACACACACACACACAGCAAAACTTCATAACTTCACATATAATGATAGCACATACAATCCAACAGGATATGAATGTTCAACAGAACAAGACTTTCAAAATGATACCTCATAAAGCATACGTCGTATATAACATATCAAAATTATATGACAGTGGTGAATATAGGGGTTCCAGGGTATTGCTTTGAGGTACAGAGTGCCACAACAGTATCTTTCATTTCCCATCCTAATATTCAGTGTGCATTGTGAAACCATGAGATTTTATTTGTAAAATGCTTTGAGATCTATTTGCATGAAATGCACTATCTACGTACAATATTGTTATCATTAAACAGGACCAGTGGGTTTCAGTACCTAGCTAGAGTGTGTTGTGTTATTAAATAGTGCTTCATTGGCATCAGATATAAGCCATAATACACCAAAGCCCCAATACAGCCATAACTTGTCAACATTTTTCTTTAAATTGTCCACAAATAGTCATAAAACATTCTTTAAAATGGCTATTCAAATGTCTATTTTGGAGTAAAATATTGCCATCTTTGTGGCTAAATCCAAGTCAGCTCATTAATGCCAATATGCATCGCTCCGTCCATCCATTTTCAGGCAAAAATAGCACTGCTTACGGTCTTTTTTGTTTGTTTTTTAATTTGTTTTTGTTAACTTTTCTACGCCCTGATCAAGGAAATCACTTAAGCATACACTTACATGAGACTAACCCCAGTGAAGTCAGTGGGACTACTCAGATACTTAGGTGTGTGCTCGAGTGCTTTCCTGGACTGACACCCTAGATTGATGAACACCAACCCTATAATGAGATTTGCTTGCTGAGCTTTTTGTTGTATTTTTTGGTGTGGGTGCGGAATGATATTTGATGTGAGGTAGAAAAAAAAAAGCAGCCAAACAGAATCTTTGCTCATTTTGCACTCTTACTGCTTTCACACACACACTGGGTCAGATTTACCTCTGTGTGTGTTTAAAAAATATAAGATTTTATTGAATTCCATTCTTGTACTGACCCTCAAAAAGGCAGACTAAGGTCCTGCTCCTGCATCTGGAGAGCTCATTGCAAGATTAAGGCCAGAGTTAGAAACTTCCTGAAGCTTCCCGTCCCTGACAAACCCAAACCATATTTTCTGTTTAGAGGGGAGCAAATTCACAGCAAATGACTTGCTCAAAATATTTCACCTTTTTTTAATTGTTTCTGAGCAGCATGTGATTTTCACACCTGCATTATTTATTCTAAATTATTTCTGTCTGTAAATTGTCTATGAGCAGATCATTGTGAGAATTCATGATTTGAAATATGATGATTAGTTTTGATTGGACAGAAGGTCATGCAATGTGGGTCTGTTCCCTCACTGGATGAGCACAACTCCTTGAATGAAGTTTTTAGTGTGAATACTCATGATTACAAATATGTAATTTGTTTCCCACAAATATCTTTTGATAACTGTTAACCTGTTGCTGTTTTCTCAAACATTTCTGCCATTAAACTTCTTTGTTAGAATGTTTGTGGAATGTAACATGGAAGGAGCAGGAACATGGTTGAAGCCAATTAGCTTTAAAATTCAATGAAATGTTCATAGAAAAAGTCTTGCTGTAGGTGCCCAGCTCTTCTTTCTCTTTGTTTTAATGAGTGTAGGGTTTACCTCTACAGGAAAGTTATACCAATATAAACTAAACTGTGAATTTAAACTGCTTTAGTTAGACTAGCATAACCTCCCATGTGGTCACTCTTACTCCAGTATAAATATACCTTTTTCTTTAACTTATGTCACTTTGGAACGGGGGGGAATGCCACTCTTATTCAGGAATCAGAATATTCACCTGGAGAGTTATACCAGTATAACTACAGCAATTTAACTATAGAGGTATACCTTTACTGTAGTCACTGGTAAAAGTTTCCAGGATAGACAGCTCCTAACCCCCTCACCCTGCCTACTCTCAGTGATACAGCATTTAAACATAACCAAAAAGGAGTAGTCATTTAAGAACATCACGCAAGCTCAGTTTAATACAAACCAGTACAGTGTGTACACAAAAAGAGGAGCAGCATCTGTTTTATAAATATGATCCATGAAAGGCTTCCAAATGTCTCCTCTGTTCTTCAAATGTGAATGTGATTTTCTCATAGGAAGCCATCTGGGATAGGCATGCTAACAACTCTGCCTCATTCAGAGTGCCATTGTTTTTCCTATGCCTCAGAGTGACTTGCTTTATGTCGTTAGGCTAACTTTGGAATGATTATCCTTTTTATTTTCTATTCTTTTAAAAAGAGTTTGTTGCATAGCAGATGTGCATCACAAGTGGTCTGGTTTAAACATGCTGCTTTTGCCTTCCCGTTAGAAACATCGTGAAAGGAATGAGAGACCTGCGAGAAGTATTACGGACTGTGGAAACAAAAGCTACTCAGAGCTTCAAAATGGTAAGGAAATGTATGGAAGGGTTTAAAAATGGGAAGTCAGTTTAATCTGCTTTGCGGATAGTTTATTTCTTAATCATTGCTGTGGAACAAGATTCCCCCAGCCCTCCTCCGACTGATGCCCTTGTTGGACATTGTGGTGACACATTTAATTCAGACACACAAGCCCAACAGACACACCTGAGCAGGTGGGTATTTTCTCTGCCTCTCTTTTGAAAGCATTGTTCTGTTCAGTGTATTTTTTTATTTGTAGGTTATTTAATTTTATTTTGCACACCAAAACAATTGTAAGGTGAAACAAAATATGTCCTGTATTTCTGGCATCCCTGGATTATCCAACTGATAATGTCTATCTTAGTCTCTCTTTCACACTCAGACGCACGTACGCTTTTTCACATTAATAGATAGCAGTGCTATGTATTTGAATCTTTTTTCCCTCCTGGAACTTCCAGTGCTTTTGGATTTAAGGTGGTGCATTTTCTCTCTGTGAAGCACTCTGTTGAACAGTGTAATTGGGGATGATACTTGGGGATAGCCATTTTTGTGTGCTGCCTTTCCAAGGGCCTCTTACAAATGGACACATCAGAATTTACTTGTGCATGTTAGAGAGCAGCCAGAGACTGTCTCAAGTTATGGAGGGTTTGTTCTTGGGGGAGCTGATAGTTTATTCGGAGGTTTATATTTGTGTGTGCTTCAATTGTAATATTAAAAATATGGAACATGGGGAAGTAGCAGGGACATTATTGATGTGCATCATTAACCAGTGGCTAGCCCTGAAATGGGAGACTTTCTGGTACTTGTCATAACTCATATAGCATGGCTAGGTGGAAAAAGGCCACTTCTCAGGAATGGATGTCAGTCAGTCAAAGTTTGGATCTGTCCTATTGTTCTCATTCAGGGCTTTGTCTCCCAGCAATGGCTGGTAGTCACCCAAATATATGATTAATGTTAACTGGCCTCTACTTAATAAGACTGCTGTTACCCATGCTATTGGTCATGGATGAAGACCCTTAAACCTGGAAAGTCATGGTCTTGTGTGTTACTGAGACCTGGATGACTAAACTGGCCTTGTGTTGGTTCAACTTTGTCTGTCTGTCCATATATTCGATCCAAAATGAGTCCAGGAAAGGCTGAGGAAGAGATGTGGCTGTGCTTTTGACCTATGATTTTAGGTTCAGGAGATACCAAGGTCCCAAGGGTGGTCTGATCTGAATGTGTCCACCTACCATACAGATCCAGGGCTAAAATTAATGAGTATAATGGACATGTACAGAATGAGTGTTCCAGGTGTGTTCCTGATTGAGTCCATGTCCGGTCTGGTCCCTATTCACCGACATGTCGTTCTGGAACTTCTCTGTCCACTCTGACAATGTCTCTTCTGTGTCAGCTCAAGATCTCTAGGTCACCAGGTGGTTTCTAGCTTATTCCATACTCTCAGGAGCTTAACTTTGTGCGGGGCATGGAAATGGGTGTTTTTAAAAAATGACACAGTTGAAATGGTCCCATCACTTTCCAGACCAAGATCAGAATTCTGGGGGATTTTATTGCTCAACCATAACATTGCTCTGTTGAAGGGCTGATGAGCATAACCATTTCTTGTCCCCAATCTCTGACACAGTGGTACTTGGATGCTGCCTTCCCTGTACTGCAGGGTGAGCTGTGCCGCATAGGAGAGATTAATCCCCGGGGGAAGATTAAGAGGTGTTTATACCACTATACCATTGGACTTTTTAAAAAAATGAGCTGTTGAGAGGGGATTAGGGTAGGAATATACTTACTTAAACTAGTTTTTCAAACACTAAAATTAAACACATGAGCATATTTCGCTTGTAGGCTGACAATGTACTCGAAGCATAATGATGCTCTTTTAGCCAAAGGCAGTAATAATATAAATCAGAGACTTGGATTGTTCTAATTTGTTTGGTTTTATTCAAAACAAAAGTGAAGCTAATTTACAGTGCTACTGCACTGTACATTAAAGTCAAAGCAGACTCCAAGCATTGGGGGCCTGTCGCTTCTGAGCTGTTTTATCCCAATCATAGTCATAGTTTCATGCAGAGCTGCAGAGATCTTACTGATACCAGTGCAGTTTTCTTATCCCCAGGGCTTTAGAAAGAAATGTCGGAGAGTTGGCTCCTGAGGGTGAAACTGACTAAATGATTGTATGCTGAGATGATAAAATGATATTGGCTAATATCACTGTACCATAGGGTATTTTGCTCAGGTTTACATGTTATAAAAAGTATAGAAAAGGCTGGTTACTAGCAGATAGTTTTCCGTCATTTGTCAGTGCATGAAGGTATGAAGGCTCCAAGGAGTTATGTGGAGCAGTATTTTTCCATAGCAATACCAGCCATTCACATCAGTTTGCAATTATCTGGATATAGAAATGAAACCTTCCTTTCCAGTTTTCAAGAAACACTGCACATTATTGATATTGCATCTTAACTAACAAGATGATGTCCTTGTGTGACGAGATGGTCAAAAAGGAAACAATAAAAGTCCTCTGCAGCAACAGGTTTTTGTTTTGTTGGCAGTCTGGTAATAGGAACTTTCCATAGGTATAGATAAACTAGATTGAGATTGGAGAGGTCATTCCTACTATTTTGACATTAGAATACATCGTGGGGAGCAACTAGGACTCACATATTAGGATTTATAGGTATACTTACCTTATATGTAAAACATACTAATGTGGCAGGCCTAGTTGCTCCCCACCATGAATTTTATATGTAATATTGTGTGTGTGAGAGTACATATATGTGTTATAATCTGCATATGTTCTATGCAAAAACCAATGGGATGCATTGGATACATTTGAACAAAAAGGCAGGAAATGCCAGAATAAAGGTTCCTCCGATTCACTTCAGCTTGCTCACAACATTGTATCTCCTGGACCAGATGGTGACATGCCCTTATGTTGTTGGAGTGAGGGTGGGAGATGCGTAAGGTACCTTTGTCCCATGTACTGCCCTAGGAAGGGCAAGTCACAATTCCCATCCCTGCATAAAGTTTTTGTTTTGTTCTGAAGTTATTTAGGAGAAAAAGAGTAGTAATACTCAAATAGGTTGTTTCTCTTTCACTGTTGTATAATTCAAACAGCTGAAGGGATTGTCCTTTAAATGTAAAAAAAAATTATATATATATATTTATATATATATATATATATTTTCCCCCCTGTGGGCTGAGACAAGGATGGAATTTTTCAAACTGAGAAAGCTACGAATGTGGTTAGAGCCAACTACTTGTTGTGTAGCTGGGGCCTGAAATATCCATGGAGGAATCACTTCTCACTTGCCTGATTGAACATGTCCCTTTTCTTCCAGAAGTCCTCTTACTTTTTCTCTGCCACTTTAGAATGGACCATCCAAACTTCTAGGGCCTGATTTTCAGAGGATCTGAGCACCTGCAGCTCCTAGTGACTTCAGTTGGACTGTTAGTGCTCAGAACCTCTGAAAGTCAGGTCCCGAGTGTGTTTTGTACTCATGTTTCCTGTGTGAAGACATGCCCCCTGCATGTGAAAGCCTTTGTAAGGTGCTTTCTGTTGATCTGTAGACAGCTGCCAAACAGCTAGCCGAAGTGCTCCTCCACTCCTTGAGTGAAGATTGTTACTGGAGCCCCTTATCTGATCCTCTACCTGAGTTCATGAACAAGGAAGATAACTCTTACGTTAGCAGTCTTCTTCGGCGGAGACCCCAGCTATACACAGGAGACAAGTAAGCTCAGCTCTTTATTTTGGTTTCCACTCTGAGAGGAAAAAGTGTGGCTGAAGTGTCCCTGAATGCCAACTTGGCTACTGACCCTGTAGTCTTGTTGATTTTATTTATTTATTTTAACTTCTAATCAAAATGCCTTATGAAAAACCCTGACCTAAATCTGGAGTATGTAGTTATTTCCCATGAATGGAGAATATCTGACTAAATAGCCATCTCAATTGTGGAATGGGTCAAAATAGTCCATTTTAGAATACGCACTAGAGCTTTTAATTGTGTGGCTCTGAAAAAGAGGGTATTATATAGCAAATGAATCATAGATGAGATGTTTCAAGTTACTGGTCCTCTTGTGACATTAAAAATAGAGACTGGTGGGCTAATTCCTGATCTTGTTTATAAAAAAAGTTTTTGTCTTTCAGCCTGTACTGCCCTCAAGACAACATAGAAGAGGCTCTTCTCCTTCTGTTAATCAGTGAATCTATGGTAAGCCAAAATGAGTATTTAGTAATGATAGCAATAAGGGGTATCTAGCATTTGTGTGTCAAGTCTTCTGGAAGTTTTTGTAAACTGCAATGAATCCACATGATTACAGAATCTCCCCCAGACACCTGGAAATAAATAAGTCAGTAGTAAGGCAGGAACCAATTGTCTTCTCTTAATGACTCAGATTTTATTATTGCTTATTAAATGGATATTCAGTGAAGGGCTGAGGGATCCTTCAAGAAAAGAATGATTTGCCAATATTGTGGTTTAGAAAATAACGTTTCTACTCCTGATATTGCTGAAATGCAGTTTGTAGGAGATTATTAGGAAGGGAAAACAAACAGTTTCCTCTCCACACAGGCTTTTTTACAAACCTTCTCGTGTTTACAAATGACAATTTTGCAGGCAACAAATGAGTTGAGTGTGCAACTCAAATTAATGAGGGATCTGCTATGCTTTGACTCACAAGGCGTATTTGTTAAAAAGTACACATTTTTGTGAAAAAAGTGTATTAGTCTGTTTGGGGGCAACTGTAATTGGCAAATCTAATCTTTGCAGGTTTTCTGTACTGTTTGATATGGTGATAAAATAAATATTTCCTTTATTAAAGGCTGCAAAAATTGGTATTGTCTGATAACTGTTAGCACCAGAGCAACTTTGCAGAGAAGTACACTACAGACATATGAACGTTTTTTAAAAACCCAACTTTTTTAAAGGGAAAACTTCATAAACAAGTAATGCAGAATTAAATAAGTTACCTTTGGTAAATTCAAAGCTAAGCACCGATGTATACATATATTTTTAAATTACTTGGGAATGAAAAGAATGGTAAGAGAATGTGACCAGACCCAGCCAAGACCTTATGCGTCTCAGTACTCATATTGACTTTGTTGGGACTAATGAGCTTAAAGTAAAGCATGCACTTAAATGCTTAGCAGGACTGGATCTGAGCTGTGTGAAACAGAACTTCTATGTCCACCATAGTCGCATTGGATTTCTGACACCCTTTTCCTAAACCCTGCCCTGATATTTACCATTGTAAGTCTACAGATTTACCTTTTTGAACTTCTCTGTGAATTTGTTGGTCATAAAAATGGAGGACTAGTAATAGTGTCTAAAGCCAGGCATAATGCAGATATGTGCTGCTCAGCCTTTGCAATGTTCAGTAGTCTGTCCGTGCACCTTAGTCTTTATCTGAAACATCCCTACTCTTCCAGCCCTGAATGGCCTTTGACTAGCTGCAGTCATAGTGAATAAGGGATTTGTGTTATGTGCACAGCATTCTTAATGGACCACATGGAAACCACCAGGTTTATAACTTATATTTATAACCATTATAACTTCAGCTATATGTGAACTCAAGTCTCTTAACGAAGAAAAACAAATAAAAAAAAATCCTCTCTACAGAAGAGTATCAAGTAACCTTTAATGTTTTGCATCCTCTTAGACCCTGGAAAATAGCTTTTCCTCATTAATGTTGTCCAACTCATTTAAATGACTGTACAATAGGTATTATTATTTATGTAGCAGTTCAGGTGTGTTGTGTGCTTTTAAATACCCCATAACAATACTGGCCCTTGCCCCAAAACAGTCCGTTTACAAAACTTTACAGTCTAAACAGACAGCTCACAGACAAACAAGAGAGGGAGAGGATACAGTGTATTTTTTTCCTCTCCTTTTTAATTACAGCCTCTGGATCTTTCAGTAACGAACCGTGACTCTTTATGACCTTTCTTCATTTCCCACCAATCATCAAGTCTTCCTCTTCCCTCCACACAAACCCCTGGAAAAAATGACAGCTCTAGCATTGCCTGCTCCAAACATTCAAAAACAATGAGTCAGGCCCCCAAAAGCCATGAGATTGGCTTAAAAATTGTGAGCTTTTTAAAAACAATACTAGCTTTGGGGCTTTTTTATTGGCTCTCTGAGCTGTCTGAAGGCACAGTTGCTTCGTGTTTCCAATCTTTTCTCCGCAGCCACAAGTGCTAGAAACCTTTTTCTTTTGGTAACTGAAAGCTGAGATTCTCTTTGAATCATTGGACTCCAGAAGCTAGGGCTTTAAGAAAGGCAGCAGATATTTTGAGACTTGTGATAAAATCACAGTAGTTGGCAACACTGCAGCTTGCTAAGGTTTAGGCCTGCTGTCTATGGAAGAAGGGAGCAGGCTTTTGGAGCAGTGAAGATGTTGACCACTAAGAGTAGCTTTCTCCTAGTGTCACCCTCTGTAGGCCATCCCTGGGGAGGTCCTGCCTTATGTGGTCAGTGGGACTTGGGGAGATGCCTCACACGCCTGGTACACCAGAGTCTAAAAGAGGAGAAAGAAAGTAATGTCTTATTTGACACAGAATGCACACACTGCTGTATCATTTGGCAAATAGGCTCCATAGCAGAGTGCTACAGGAGAAGCAGGGTGAAAACAGCAATGTAGAGACACTGTGTTGCTCCTTCTTTAAGAGTAAATGAACAGACAAGTGTTTTGCTTGTTGCTGTTTTAAAGAATATATATGACAAATAAATAGAAATGCAACCACAGGAAAAAGTTGTCTAGCAGAAATAGTGGCTGCACGCTGATGCCCAAAAGATCTAAGTGACCCGTGGACATTTTTCCTGTAGTTCTCCCATTCAGCTACTAACAAGGGGAAATCTTGCTAAGTTTATGACATAATGTGAGATCTTGGCCATGGCAGCCTGGCTGCAGGCTAGTTGGAGGGGTGGCTGTGTTTTTTAATTTACTGAAGCCTAGGGGAGTAAGTTAACGAGAGACAAAGCCTCCCCCTTGATTGTAAAGCTAACCACTGTGAATAATACACATTCACTTTCCTACAGAGTGGAAAATGACAGTGATATATCTCCGCATGCCAGTGAGCACAGGGCTCTTGTGTTTCTGGCTGCTTTAGTCTTTCTTTCAGTATTTACCGTAATCAACTCTCAAGATTAACAAAAATGTACAATGAGGTTGACTCATCGGGAGCAATCCAATCGCACACACAGCTTAGGGTGCTTTGTTTCCCCTCTAACCTATCTCCTGGAGTGCTATCCATTCCAGCACGTTACAGTAAAAGCTATGTTTTCTGGCACTTTATCAACCACAAAGCTCTATTAACCGGCATTTCTGATATCTCCCAATACAAATCTTCAATCTAATAACCGGGACTAGTATACTGCCCAGGAGGTTATGCAGTTGCACATTCTGCACTCTTTTATGTAAGCAAGCTGATATCAGGGATTTATTTAAAAAAAGCAGCTCCCAGGGAGTGTCATAGGGTCATTACAGATTCAGCCCAAACTCCTACCCCTTCTACATCTACAGTGATAATTGATGTTGATAATGATGACCCTGGGGCACTGCAAGATCCCGAAGTGAAAGCTTAAATTATGTTCAGTCTCGTTTTAGTGTTTAAGTTTATTTTTAGTGATCTGGGTGTACGCCAGGCACTGCCCATAGTGATATGTAGTGTCATAAGATAACCTACTGTATAGAAAAGTTTACCTGTATACAACTAAGTGCTTCAAGAAACCAACCGTTCCGCAGTGCAGTACTGCTACTGGATTGGAGTACCTGTATACTATTTTATACTTTATTCATTTTATTGTATTCTAATTATTTGAAAATTGGTATTCCATTGGTAAGTATAACTCTTAGTTAACTGGAATTTTTGATTAACCTGCACCTCCATTCCTCCAACATGCTGGATAACAAAGCTTTTACTGTATTTAGAAGGTACAGAATGGCCATGTCACTGCTCTTCTCTGCAGGACTCTCTTGGGGAAAATGTCTGCTCTGAGTATGAATGTTCCTGTGTCTCTTGCTCCTCTGGGTGTTGTGGTGGGGCAAGGGCAGAAAGAAGGGGGAAGGGCAGAGAGAAGGGAAAACAATGGTGGCTTGAGGGCTGATATAGGCAGACACCTGGGAGTCACAAAGGAGAACTGTGGAGCAGGCATGGGGAGGCAAGAGGGATCCAGAGGGAAAGAGGGGGGGTAAAATGCTTTTTCAAAGAATAATTTTTCAAGTAACTGATGAGGGGAGGGTGCCATTGTTTGGGGGTGGGGGGGTTTCTACGTATTCTGATGAAGTTTAGATTATTTGTCTCTCCCTTTCTGTCACCTTTCTAACCTTTCATTCACCCAAATGAACCCCTGGCTATGTGGTGGCCCCAGGACACCTCCATTGTTACAAGAACTTTCCCTGGCAAAAGCTTTCACATTAAAGCCCCCATGGGCTTGATCCTCCGTTCACTGAAGGAAATGGCAAAACTCCCATTGTCTTTAATGGTGGAGAATCAGGGCTTATGACAGTGTCCTCACTTTTTTCTTTCCTCTTATCATGTTTGCTTCTGAGAGTAATTTTAAAAGGAATCTTTTTCCTCATTTCAATAAAAAGGAGGATGACTTCTAATTGTAACTGGGCATTATGAAGTATTACATTGACTGTGTCTCTGAGCCAAAGTGTGTGATAGTTTTTTGGATTGCAAAATAGCACAATTTACAAGTAACACAGAAACTTTTTCTTTTTAAACTAGGAAATACCATATTCAGAATATATATCACTTCACATCTGAGGTTCAGTTTCCTCTGGAAATGATCTCAATTGTGTTCCTACGTGCTTCCTTTCTCGTTGAAAATGGGAATCTAATTTTCATGATAAGCAAAGGTATTCTAGCCTGATTGTTGAGTTTGCCAGATGTCCTTTCCAATGCCAGCTGATATTAAGTTAGTTACCAGAGTTGACAACAATATCCTCTTCAAAGAATCCATAGAAATAGACCAGACAGCCTAAAGATTACTGCAAATCACAGAGCCTATTGTGCTTGTTTGTTTAAGAATTGAAGGCCTAATTCTCATCCTCTTTGCACTGATCTTCATTGAAAATGTACAATAGCATACATACATCTCTCAGGCGTGTGGGAAATCCCCCCTCCCCCCCCCCCGAGGGACATAGCTATGCCAACTTAACCCTCCAGTATAGACAGCATTAGGTCAATGGAAGAATTCTTCCATCA